GATAATGCAAGAAAATACTGAAACAAGTAAAATCTACACGCAGATAGGTCTTGTCTTCACGAAGATTCCTTTGACGATGCAGCAAAAACAGAATAATTTAACCTTTCACACACCCCCCTTTACAGCATTGTCAACATTTTCCAATCAAAAGTTAAATACAAAATTCTAAAAGCCATAAACAAAGCAATGGAACAAGGCAAATCAAGTGGCCAATAAATTAAAAAAATCTTGAGTTTTGAAAATATTTTTCAAATTTTCCTGTGATTGGACAGGGCGGATGAAGATGATGGCATAGTCAGTTTTGTGACTGTCCTGTTCTGCTCAGAAGGGAAAAGAAGGCTACTCCAGTTAGTTGATCTCTGAACAAATCTGGAGGTTATTTGGTCACTGTCTTCACCACCAGATGCCTCGTATCCATCACTAGTTGATCTCGAGAACGGTATTTCCTTCTGAAAAGCCATGCCAGCTGTTGACAGCCCAACAAGTTGTCGTGCTTCTTCGCCTCCTGATGAGGAGACACGGAAAGGGTGAAGATCGGGAGAATCTAAGCTACTCTCCGGGGAAGAACCAACGATGTGAGCAGAGCTTGGCATAGCTCTGCTTGTTCGGAAAGCACTTCGAGCTTCACGTTGAAGAGAGACCAAACCAGTTGATGTTTTGGGAATCGCATTATCTCTATTGTTTTCTGCATTTTCGCTAGAAATCTTGAAGTGAGGATCAAAGGGCATGTCAGTAGGAAGGCGAATCCGTTTGCTACCCCGTTTTCTATTATTATCAGGTCTAGGAGTCATTCGACGTCCGCTACTGCCAAAACTACTTCCAGTTTCAAGGGAATATGTCCCTTCACGTCTTGCTACGGGCTGCAGAATTTTCGACTTCTTTCTTGCCTCTGCAGCAGCCTGTGAAACCTCATCTGCATTCAACCTTGCCAGTGTCCATGGACTGATCTTTACAGCTGCGGGATTCTTTTTCTTTGTCGATTCCTCAATCAGTGTCTTTTTCCCTAGTGAACTGACAGATAAATTGTCTGGAGGGACTACATCAAACTGCAACATAACCAGTATATTGCACAATATCAATAGAAAAAAAGATGGATATTGGAATTTAATGAAGGATTCAAGTGCCTTCGGTTTTTTGCCATCTAATAATTGTGAAACAAACACAGCATGGTGGCATCAATTATACCTGATCTTCAACAAAAAGGCGCGGTGGAGTGCACCATGCAGCACGGTGGAAGGTGTTAATGGAGCTTGCACTGCTTAAACCAGTAAGAGAGCTACGGGGAGACATCTGAGGACTTTGCTGACCTGCAGCAGCTAATTGCTCTTGTTCCCTTAAAGCTATAATATAATCATATGTGCTAATTCCCTATCAGCCGTACATAGTAGATATCAACCGAAAATTTACTCCATTAGCATTCTATTTTCCCTTATCATTCACAGGAAAACTTGATAGAAAAAGGACTATAAAAGTTGACCTTCTTTATGAGAAGAATGTGAAAGAAGAACAGTTGAATAAGCGGCAGGGTTGCAATCATAGCCAATATAGTGCATACAGCCTGTCATACATAAGCTCATAATCATAATTAGAGGGCAATCGGAAAAATTGCAAAGCACTTCGATAAAATTTGACCTTACTGAAATCAATCGGCAAAAATATTTACGAAGTTCACTAGTACGATTTAAATAGATTTGAAGTGTAGAAGATATGATGGGAACTTACAGATTACTCACCTCAACAATCACAAAGGGAACCACTGTGAAACTGCTTCCCAACTTGGAGCTGATGTCGACAGAGAATTCATTTCTCTCAAGAAAACATCGTACGAGTACAAGGATTCCAGTTGACCATTGAAGTATAAGCTGCAATCTCAATTCCAAGGTGCACAAACCATGTACACACCTGTCAATAATCAATTAAACAAAAAGTAACCTGAAAGTAAAATACTTACTTTTGAGATGACTTTCAGGGTCCAGGATTCTTTGGGAAGAAAATTTGGATTTTGATATAATTTAATAGAAAAGTAGAATTTACACAGACAATGTTAGGCCAAACCGGGAATTTGTTGCCAAAATATCAGGATTATAGAGCACAATAATGATGAAACCATAATCAGAAAGTGGGGGAAAAAGAAATAATTGAGACAAAAGGTTAAGTTTCCATTGAAGATAGGGGCCAGATTTGTTCTATTGGCTCAAGACTTCGACTCGGTTAAATTACCTAGCTTCTTTACGGTAATCAGAATTAGGAATAGTGATGGGATTTTACAGATGAAGTAGAGGATTCTACAGAAAAATGAAATATGTAGAATCTGCAGGTTGTTTGTCAAGATCACGAGATAAGTAATGGAGGGATGAGCATATACCAGGAGAAGGGCAAACACCATGAGGGTAAAGAATTTTCGGTAGTTCCTTTTGCCTATGCAATTGTTGAGCCACTGCAAACCCAGAACAAGAACATATTTAGTTTTTTAACAAGGTGGTAATGTTTCTTCAAACCTTGGATTGTGATTTACCCTGCAATGATGATCAAACCGATCAACACACTTGTCACAGACTCTACAATGCTTGCTGTACTTGAAAACCTGCAAATGGGAGATAATTCTAGTCATATAGTTTCAAATCTTGATAAACAAAAAGGTTCAAATTCACCGAGTTGTAAGAACAAGCACTGATTTGATGGGACACACAATCAGGTCGCAATTCTTAAGGATATTTTATAGCATTCATTGCTTCTTCATATGTGGTCTAAGATTATGGGCGGGTTTTGTGACATAAATCTCACTTCAAAACCATATGATTTCACATGTAAGTACCAACCTCTACTTCACACAAACTACAGTAGAACATGCCATCTTCGCTCATTTGTAGCTCGGAAGATTCTTCATTCGAGTTACAAACATAAGCACAGGGTAGCAAAGTAAGCATTGCCATAAAGCAGGAGATTTGATGGGAAGACATATTTTCCTTATCATTTTCAATACATTCGGATCTTTTATCAATAATCTTATTGCTTTTATCAAAAACTCTCTCTCCAGGTGTGGCTGCAGTGGCATCTTGTATTGAAGAAGTTGATTCTGCACCAAGTTTAGATTCGTTCAATCTGACATGCTTTATGCTGGCGGGAATTTTAAGATATTTTTTCGACCTAAAGACTCCTGGATCAGCAGGATCAGCAGCAGCACACCAAATGTACAGGCTGAAGACACATATAATCTGAGAAAAGATAAGGTAACATATCAATCATAGAGAATTAAAGGAATACATTCTTAAATTTTTCATTATACAGACTAAAATCATAAACACGTGACAAGGTTTGAAGAAGATAAAATGTGCCAAATCACACTTAACATAGAAGTGGAAAGGCAATATAATAGAATTGCCTTCAAATAGTAAATATAAAGAACATTTTGTGGATGAATAATATTACCTAACTGTCTATAATTCTGAAAGGAAACAAGGCAGAAAAAGAATCAAGTATTTTCTTCCTTTCTACATAATTTGAAACTGGTGTTGAATTCTGGAATTCTGATTAAAAATCAGGTGACAAATGTCTAAATCAAGTACTTTTCAGCTATCATCATCTAAAACTTCAGTCTGGATTAAAATTCTTCTTCTGTGCACAAATTCATTCATAATGTTTTTACGATTATACAGTCCAGATTGCCTTATTGCAATTATCAGATTTTGGACACTTCCTGGAGCATCAGTTTCACAAGAAGTGATCAAGTCATCCCCGAGTGATCTAGATTCAGAAAGGAGGCAATGAGAACACAGAAATGGAAAAAAAAACTGGTTTTCTAACACCTTCATTAAACCCCAACACTCTTACGATGCACGGGCCCTCAAGAATAGTGGGGGAGAGAAGGCTTTAATTCACATTAAGAGACGATGTAGTCCTGTTTTTGGGCAAATAGCTAATAAGAGTGCACAAGTTAATTGCTTCCTAATCACATAGTAACAAACAGTATGCAGACACTAATTGGGGGCAGAATTGATGTATTTTTGGTGAGGACGATCCCTTATCTACATGGATTTTAAGGCATGTCCCAATTTCCATAATCAGTGCCAAGGATATTCAGAACAAGGGCAAAATCCAATCTTCACAAGAGTAACACTGAAATTCTCAATTATGGAGCTAATGGCTGTAAGAAATGCAAAAGGAAAAGTTAAAGGACAAACACCCCATTTTTATTATCAGCTAAAAATGAAAAGTCTTGGTGAAATTGAATATTTCCTACGGGGGGAAAAAAGAACATAACGAACAGAAATTATTTCAAGATTCGGAATCTTGGGACAAAAACAAATATTCAATCAGAAAGCAATGACAAGTGAAATCACAGATCTCAGTTTCAGCTCCCACTCTAGAAACGTTCTTGAATTACATGATAAAAGCAAAGAAAGTGGAAAAGGGATGTAAATAGTTCTTACAAGAGGAGTGTAAATCCCCATCAATATGTATTGAAACAATTGTCTTCCCACAAATGGAGCAAAGAAAACATAGAAAGCGAACCCTAGTGCCAGAAACACGGCAACAGCAACCACCTGCATATATAGAGACTAAACTCAGACTTGGAAATACAAAACAAAAATCACGCAAAAGATTAGCTCAAAGGCACGGAAATTAAGAATACTCATTGGGAAGTGAAGAAGAAAAATAAACCTGGAGAGGATGGTAGGGAAGCTGCCACCCATGTTTCCTCATTGTGAAAAACTGAAGTTGCAATAAATAGAAAAAAAAAATCAAGAAAATGTCGAAATGAAGTTGGTTTACTTCCTTCTTCCACTCTTGAAGCTAATTTTCGGGTAAGAATTTGAGATCACTGCTTCATGTAGAATTTTGGAGTGTCTTATTAGTGAATTTTATTTATTTTTTTATTATTATTATTTTTTTTAAAAAGATACCAAGAATGAGCTCAATCATAGCCCAACCACCCAGCACCCTCCAATTTCACATACTGATGGTGAATAGACAGAAAGTACTTCCTTCTTCCACTCTTGAAGCTAATTTTCGGGTAAGAATTTGAGATCACTGCTTCATGTAGAATTTTGGAGTGTCTTATTAGTGAATTTTATTTATTTTTTTATTATTTTTTTTTTTTTTTAAAAGATACCAAGAATGAGCTCAATCATAGCCCAACCACCCAGCACCCTCCAATTTCACATACTGATGGTGAATAGACAGAAAGAAAAAAGCAAAGGAAGGGCCTTTACATTTGCATTTGGGGGTGAAAATGGGATTAGAACAAATGGGCTTTTTTTCTCGAAAAGCTTTTTGCTTCAGGCAAGCAAAGCAAAGATCTGGGGTGGGGTGGGGTGGGGTGGGGTGGATTTGAAGGCTATATATATACCCCCGGCAACCGAGCTTTTTAACCTTTGAGCATGGACAAAATTAATTGTAATACAGCCAGTTCTCTGGCATTGTCTTGTCCATGGATCTCTCTCTTCTGCTGTGCCTGTACAAGTAGGAAATTCCAACAACTCCCTTTAATCAATCTCTCTCTCTCTCTCTCTACTTTTTTCTTATCTATTTTTTTTTTCATGGGTTTCCCACTTATTCTTATTCATCGCTTTAGTAATTTTGGACTCCATTAAAATCAAATTTTGGAGAAAAAAGAATTTTAAAATAGTAATTTTTTGAAAAATAAATGGTTAAAAAAGAAAAAAAATTAAATTTAAGTATAATATTATTTTACATTAATCTATTTGTACT